TATGAACCAGTGTGGTTACTTAGATTGTTAAATTTAATGTTGTTATTATCTCTAAGAGGAAGCACTTTTCTCCCTATCAGATTTGTCATTTGCAAAGCAGACTTGTTTAAACAGGAATGCTCCTATTTATCAAATGGGAAGTAAACAATTTCTGGAAACTTCTTAATTTTCATTCATAGTCTTTGACCCCCCCCCCCCAATCCCATGTCCATTGTTATTATAGGGGGGGAGGGGCATAAGAGACGGGAACTGAGGCCCATTGTTAGGGATTGCCCCTACCTTGGGCCTCACTCGTTAACTTTTCTATTCTCCTCTTTACCTTTACCCTCTCTTCTCCAATCTCCTCTTCTGTCCACATCCTAAGGTGTAAGACCTGTGCTGAAAAAATGAAATGTTGGTTTTGTGTCAGTCGTGAAGGGCCTCTTAAGGGGCCATAGGCATGTTATTCCCTCAGTTAAACATGTAGCCCTTACCCTTCTTGGGGTTCCTGAGAGATAAACTGGTTCTCTTCACTGTATATATCAGGCTCACCATGGCCAATAATGAAGATTTTGTACCTTTATTAGGGGCACTGAGCTCTGCCCCTTCATCAGCTAGCTTATCAAAAATTTACTTTTTACGATTCCCGATCCCTGCCTCTCCTTTGCTTGTTGTCAGCTTGATCCATTCCAAATCATCCACCCAGGCCATTACCCAATCTTCAGAAGACATCCCTTTCTCTCCCAGTATCCAATTCATCTCCTTCTCCTGCACAGTCTTATTCATTTTCTAACCCCTCTTTTCATATTATTACTCTTCATCCTTCTTGTCCTCCCTATAGTACTACCTCACTCTGCAGCACTATCACTTACTTCTGTCCTTGTCTTTCTGCTACTTCCACTGTTACAAACCATTTGTCTACTTTTTTAGTCCAGCCAGGTGGGATCAGTTCTTTGTGATTCCCCTTACAGCCCTTTACCCTGACAATATTCACCTCTATCAACAATGTCTCCAAAAACGAGTTGGTTAAGTTTCCTTCTGCAGCCATCCCAAGTGTTCACACCATGTGATTGTTACATCTGAATCCTCATCTTGTGCATTATCTACCCTTACTGACTCCACTACTAAACCTATTCCTGCCCTACCTAGTTCTTCCCTTAATACTTGTTCTGGAACTGTTTTCTTTTCCCCGGCTGATTGCCCTGTTTGCAACAAGAATTGGTTAGACCAAAAATAACCGCTTGCGGCAATGTCAGAAATGTTGGCATTTTAGCCACCCTGCTCTTCAACCTGCTGTTCTCAATGTGCAAACAAGTGCCAATTGTGGTGGCTCCCATAATATATTCTACAGAAGCTGCTCTCCCTACAAGTTCAAGTCCGATTTGGCAATTCTCAGATTCAAACTTGGCCTCACTTTACGGGAGGCCAGACAGGGAGCAGGCTGACATGGGTTTTCTCTCACTACACATCTTAACACTGTCCTTTGCTCTGCTCTGCTTCTCTCCCTCATATCCCTTCTAATCTGTATACTCCCATTCCCTCTACATTCAAAGTAACTGCTGACATCTATCCTCATCCTCATGTCCCCACTACCCTCTTCATTCAACTTTCTGCCAATACTACTCCAACCTCCTTTTCTCTATCTGTACCATAACCCTATTCTTTCCTCATTATCCCTTACGCTCCCTCCTGGATCTTCATAAGACTGCTTTCTGTTGTAACAATATCTATCTCCGGATCCTCCCCTCCTGCTGGTTGTCCTGATATTTCACCTCTATCCCCTTGTCTCTTGTCTCATTCCGGGGTTCTCCTACTTCTTTGACACCCATTTCTACCCTTAATACCCACTGATTGCTTCATAATTGATCTTTTGAACTTTTCCTTTGCAGTGTTCCTCATCCTTATATGTATTGATCACTCTTTGCTCTTAACCCTTCTTTCCCTTCTTACATATTCCCACTTTACTCCATTTGCTACCCTTCTTTACCCTTTTCACTACCCTACTATTGTATAGGTCTCCATGACCGTTGACATCTAACACAATTAAATCAATTTTATCCTTAAGGATAGCACTCAAGGATAAAATTTAGAAACTGAGAATTTACATGACAAAATTTTTACTCTAGGGATGTTTTGTTGTTAACAGCAACCTGACTGCTAAATGTCTAAGCACATATATGTATATATTTTTCCATTTCTTTTATTAAGAATCTGAAGAGGAAAAGGCAGATCTGAAGCAGGCTTACATTGATGGTGAGGGTGATATGAACTATATACTCGACAATGTATTGTGCTGCACCATTGAGGATGAACCAAGGTCAGTGATTTCAATTTCTTTCATTTCTTTCTTCCTTTTTTTCTTTTTCTCTTTTTCTGTGTGTGTGTGTATGTGTGTTTGTGTGCACATGCATGTACGCATGCAGGAGAGAGAAAGAGTGTGAAAGAATGAGAGTCAGTCTATCAGAATTTAAAGAGTTCATTGATTTGATCACATTTTAGTTTGCTTTAAATGAGCGCCTCA